ATCCTTCCATATTGCTGAATATACTGTTATAAGACCATTTTTGCCTGTCTCTTTAATTTCATTAAACTGATTGTATGGTATCCATTCAAGCACAATGTCATTATGGTCATTAATTTTTAATTGCCTTTCTTGGATGAAGTCGTCAATTTTTTTATTTCCGCTGGTCCAACTTGTAAAATTGGTTTCTAAATACTCCAGAATATTATCTTTTGTTAAAGGTATATTTTGAGAAAACATCGTTTTCAAAAGCTCAAAAATTTTTTCAAAAAAATATCTTTATTTATAATAAACTTTGTACCGACTGTAACATACAAAGTAATAGGTAACACAACAATTGACACAAATTACTTATGTAAGTATTACGTAATGGGGCTTGGTAATATTTGATGTCGATCATAGTCACAATTATTTGAAAAAAAATTTTCTTGTAAATTTTTTCATAACTTTATACGAAACCTTTTAATATTATTAACAAAAGTACGCTTTTACATTATATATTGTATAATATGTGTTTTGGAATTAAAAAAAACCTCTTTTAACCTTGAAATCACACTGAATCGAAAATAGTAAAGCCACTATATTAAAACCACATTAACTGGAGTGTTCTCCGACTTCTTTTACTCCAGCAGTTGAATCAATACATTATATTTTATATGAGAATAATCAATCTATATAATTAAAAAATTTTGTTTGTGCGACTAACATTTAGATTAGCTAGTTTGTATAAATTAATTTTGAATTGTTGAACTGTATTCTTTATAGTTAAGTCCTGCTTGATCGGCAAGTCATGTTGTTCATCTAATTCAATTCCAGTTAATGAAATCTATATAACTAAAAAAATACATAAAAAAATTGTAACATTTAGACTAGCATGTATAAATAGTTTTGAATTGTGTAATATATTTTCTTTTTGCGCCTAATCTATTCCATGTTAGCGTAAGTTATTTGCTCTTTATTATCTAGATTATTTAGGTTAATATCGGTAAGTTCATGAATTTAGATCATTTGTTGATTATTAATTTTAATTATATAATTAATAGAGAATTATATTCTTTTTGGTTAGATCATCGATCCTAAGAAGGTCAGATCGGTTATATTTTTTTTTATAGACTAAAACCCATTTTTTTACGTATATAAATATTTTTTCCCCGTTATGACTTTTTTTTGTTATTTGATTTTTTTATGATATACTGAAATACAACCAATAAAATATTTATTATGGATATATGCAAAAAATATAGCATAATTATGGCTGTTACATTTGTTTGTATTTCTTAATTATATATTTTGCAATTCTTAGTATTTTGAAATGTATATAAATTTGGTTATGTGGAATTTATGGTTTATTGCAATAAATCTATATAACTAAAAAATTTCTCTGACGTTTGGATTAGTCTCTGTATAAATAATTTGAATTGTGTAACTTGAAACTCCATGCCATATAATTAAAACCCCGCTTGATCTATTTATATTCGATCTAATCAGAATTTTTTTTTTGGTTATTAATTTTTTTTGTCCGATTTTTTTTCTCCCTTTTCTTCTTTCAGTTTAATTTTTTTTTCAACCGAAAAATTTATTTTTCTCATTCTTTTCCCGTTTAGGTTCAATT